GGGGGGGGGGGGGGGGGGGGGGGGGGGGGGGACAAAGAGTTGGAGGTGATTTTAAAAGGAGCAAACATGAGCGTGAGTGAGTGCAGGCCTCAGGGATGGAAAGTTTTAAGACTAAATAAAGTGAATTTCGGTCAGCTGATCACACACAGTAACAGGATAACATTCAAAAACACAACTTCATCAACTAAGTTCAAAGTTTCCAAATGTTCCTTTGTAAAAGAGCGTCAGCTGAAAGGAACATTGTTCTGTCAAAACAGGTCAAAGGTCAACATTATAGCTGCAGAGGCTGGATCCATTTCAATAAAAATCACACACACACACACACACACAGATTCAAACACATATTGCTGCGTTCATTATCTACATGATTCATATATCATCCAGAACAGTGACTCAGCATTTTCTCTCTGATTGGGCAGCAATTAGCCATGTAATGGCTGGGCAGCCAATCACACGAGGATAATTAGGCGAGTGGTCACGGTACAGCGGTCGTGGTTTCAGGCCACAGAAACGACCAACCAAGTTCAACCGACACAGAGAGAAGATGCCACCTCATCATTATTAAAGGCTATTAATTGATTTCTAATTTATTTATGTCCCGTTTTAATTTAACAGCTGGATTCACAGGACGGCACAGAGGAGGATTGGAATTATTCACTCAGACCAGACGTCCTCTGGTGAAACAAACAAGTTTCCCTTGGAGCTTCTCCACACTGGTGTCGTGTGAGAAAACTCTGTTGACGCTGATCCACGTGGATAAACATGTGGTCCACCTGACCATGTGTGGTGCAGCAGAAGGTCAGAGGAGGACCAGCTTCTGAGGTTAATGACCAGAGATATTTGGAATAGTTGAGGTTAGAGGAAAGCATTAGCCGATGTGAAGTGCTCACACAACACCAGATTCTATCGGTGTGTGTGTGTGTGTGTGTGTGTTAGTGTGACACACACACACACACTTCTTCCAATTCAAACTTTTAATGCACTGTTCATTATTGTGCTTCTTCAGCAGATCGTGTGGAGGAGATAACCTCACTCACATCCATACCTCCTGCTCCTCCTTCTGAGGGGGAACCAAAAAGAAGACAAGAAAGCAATTATATCTGCAACACCTCCCTCACTTTCAGGTAGTTTCTCTCTTTTCTCCCTCACACACACACACACACACACACACACTTCTTCTTTGCATTTAAAAAGTGATTAAATAAAAGTTAAATTAGATTTTCTAAATCTGCCAAAAACAATGTTGAGACACGTGCAGATTATGATTGCGTAGATTAAGCGATTGCACAAACACTTTTGTGCAAGTGATCATGTTGCGTTGAAAAAAAGGCATTTGTAAAGAATTATATTCACCAATGGCTAACCATCAGCCTGTAACGTAATGGATTCATGTTATTACAACAACAGACCACAAATGATCTGTG